TTTTACTGTCTTTTACATGTAAATGCATGGTGCTGTGTTATAATGTGTCACTGCTTGCGTGTTTTGATGCTATAATTATGTGTAAATTGTCATGCCCTGGATGTTCTTTCAAAAATTGTCTAAGCGTTACAAATGTCTAGGGCTCACACGTATAATCATGTTTAAAGCGGATAATCTCTTGTCGATTCTACAATTCTATTCGCAACATTAGTTGTAAATAGTAAGAAATAAAAAAGAAAAAAGAAACCATTTTGTATCATCAACATCAAAAGAACATAATATATTCTTGGAAAAAATATGAAACAAATTGGAATTGCATGTATATTTCTTATTTCTTATATTTCCTATTTGTTATTTCAAATAAAGCTTAGAACCTAGATCAATTCTTTAAGTGTTATTGAAGCGTTTTTGTTGTGTGTTTGTGTGTGTGTTTTTTTTTCTCTTTTTCTTTTTTTGTTTGGTTTATTTTTCTGCTTTTTTACTATGTTGAATTTGTTAGTATAAACATACTTTCAAACCGCCTGTTTATAGGCTAAATTATCTGGAATGATATTATAGTTATATAATAACGTTTTGCTATTTTAAGAGCAATAACTGACCATTTACAAGGATTGATAACCTTTGACAAAACACGGCTGTTCTTTCTTTTCGTCTTGAGCTAATATTTGAAAATTCATGTTATATTTATTCAAAGTTAGCTTTATACTTGTTTGTCTTTAAGTTAGCAATAACTGTAGTCCAATACTCAACAAATCCAGATTCCTTCACGTTATTCTCAAATAGTCATATGTAGAATGAATTCAAAAAGTTCAAACGCGTGTTTGTTTCAGGTTTAATTGTGATCGGCATTTCAGTAAGATCTTAATTAAGTTCATCGGAATGTACATTATGTGTTTTTAATAACATCATCGCCTTTTTGAATTTAGATAAGATCAGTTCTGTAAATGTACAGTGGTAGAAAAAGACACAAACATGATCATGATTGATATTTGCTGGTATTTTTAAGAAATGTTATCTTTCAAGTAATGTTTCTCAAATATAAATTAAATGAAGATAACACATTTTTTTCAATCAATGCTAATTGAGTATTTCTTTAATTTAAGCAGAACATGAGAATGATCACACACAACCTTTAAGTATAAAAGGTACGTAGTGTTTCAAATGCGTCCCGAAGTACTACATAACTAGATTGCGTAGATAATTCTGTATTGAAACTCCGAAACTATCAAGGAATGTCTGCTAATAGAGTAAAATACAGAAAAACAGAATCCTTAAGTAAAGCCCAACATGGCAAAATTGAAAATGTTGCAGGCTCGGTTAAATTGGGCATGTTAATGGACGGAACTGGAAAGTGCAATTTACCGTCCACGCCCCTAGCACTGGCTAAAGCGGAATTCAATACTTATTATAATAAGATGAAATTTTGCATTTTAGAATATCCACAGATGTATTCATACGGCAGTAACCTTTATTTTAAGTAAGAGTAGTGTGCGCATTTCATTCGTCGTTCTGAGTTTTTTCGAACATTTTTCAGTAGTTAGTGTTCGAAGTTATTATAATAAGAAAAATTTCAAGAGAAATGATTCATCTGAAATTGAACAAATTCCATTCTGACTAATATTACAATTGCATTATTTTTTCTCACTCAAACTTCCAATTTTAAGGTATTCTTCGGTATAATTTGATTGTTTTAAGGACAATATCCCACTTAGAAATATAATTATCTCCACAAGTTCTCCAAACTAGACACTTGAATTGTAACATTGGGAATAATGTTTAAAATTAGAAGACTTTTTCAATGATTTAAAATGATAATTGATTAAAATTATAGATTCAACGTTTTCTCAATTGTAATCTTAAAATCAGATAAACGCTAGTGAGATAAAACCTTATCGAAGTTTTTTATTTACTGATCCAGAAATGCTTGATTTTGTGAATTTTAGTTTAGCAAATGGTCTAGTTGATGTGGTCTTTCTTGACATATAAAATAACATGGTTGTTGCATTTTACGGTTTTATTTTTCACTAATCGTCCTTACTACAAAACATTGTATAAGAAAATTATGCAAACTATTTAAGGACTAATTAAGAACACATGCTTTATCTAGGACATCTTCAAATGTGTAATGTTTCTAAATGTAATCTCGTAAACAGATGATCCGAGCACATTTATAACATTTTGATATTAAATTCGGGATGACTGAAGAGTGACATTACTCTTTTTATCAACAAAGATGAATTAGACAATTTAGATGATAACATTTCATGGTCATTTAAAAGTTTCTCGGGTACGTGCTACATAATGCAACAATAATGGCTATCCTTTTTCGTAACAGTTCTTTAAGACATAAGTTGTTCGCTTTAAACAATAAAGACTGCTTATCAAGTCAATTTTTCGTTTGTAATATTCCTTGTCTCTTATTATAATTTTTCAATTTTGAGTACGGAAATTGAACAGTTTTATATCAAATAATACGAAGCTACGGCATCTTAAACTGGAAAAAAAATATTTTAAACTAAATAAGTATATGCGACGCCCATAAAACGCAGCCTCCGAAAATAAACCCATTTAAACTAATTTAAATAAACTTTCAAAAACCTTTATTCAGAGGTTGGGAAGGTATTAATTCTACCTATATATTAAACACGTTTTCAGTAGTTCATTCTGATGACTCAAAGTAGCAGGGCATCTTATTCATCCAGGTTGAAAACTTGTAATCTTTGAATATATACTGCATACATAAAGAATTGACATTAATGATAATAGCTGTATGTTTTAAATATTTCTTGTTCGTTTAACTTACAATATTGTTTTGTAATGTACATCAAATTATTACAATTAACAAAACAAATCCGATGATCACATTAAGACAAATTATTAAAATTTACTTAAGAATTGTTGAACAAACTAGCTTCCAGAATATTGATGTAAAAGTCAAGTATATTCCTCCTCATTGTGTCCAAATGAATGCGCATTACATAACAAGAGAATGGTATTACTTCAATTTGTTGTTTACGTTTCAAGCCCATAAACAAGGATTTATTTGAAATTGCTTTTAAGATTTAACAGAATGACAAGCCATGTTAGAAATGTAAAATCTGTACTTAATTTTCAATGTTAATGGAAGTGGGATTTCAGAGTGATTTATTCATGCAATCTTTTTTATCCAATGCGTTCTTCAACATAAAATGGAAAATGTGTGGTCAGACATTTTAAACTTTATATTGGACTAGTTTTTACAAACAAAATCATTTTCTATACATTTATTTTGTGAATTAACAACAACAGGCACATCTCTTTGTTGCTTGCAAAATTGTCTAAAATATCAATTATTTCTTTATGTCAAATGATGCTTTTTTCCGTCCTACATTATTATTTTAAATCAAGGTTCGGTCATAGATGCAAAAAATGATAAATAAAAAAATAATTAAATTAAAATAAATAATTATAACAAAACAAAAACATGAGTCCAATTTGTAGATAAATCATATATTAAACAGATATATGTGTCTACTGTAATTATGTAGACATGCTTTATCGATCGAGATAATAATATGGTGATGGTGTTACCCTTTGATTTCACTTTCAATTTCCTGTTTATAATATCGAATTTTATGCCATGCGTGCCAATATGTGATCCAAACGTTTTTGAGACACAAACATTATTCAACCGAGAAATACAGAGTTTTATTAACGAGCGTTTGTATATGTATAAAAACAAGTTTTCGTACGACAACATTTTGTCTGGGAAACATCATTTATTTAAACATGTTTGATATAGCATTTTTTCAAAAACAAACATGTTGATTGTTCATGGTAAAGTTTCTGTTCTTAAGGAATAGGACAAAAATCTTTCTTCAAGATGATCTTTTATATTCGCCAAATAAAATGGTAAAATAAAGGATACCTCAAAGAACGCCCATAACGGTACAATTGAACAAATTGGACAATTGAATTGATTAAGTATTTATTAACGGTTAATCCGTTTTATGCAAATACTTGTGCATGTATATACCACAAGTAGAATTAATGACAATAATTGTATGTGTAAATATGCTACCGGTACAGGGAGATAAGAAAAATGAGATAAATTATGCTGACGACAAAAATTCATCATTAGCACTGACTGTAATATGAAAAATTGCAATGCGTATGCCAATGATGAATGATATATATGATTGTATATAAACAAATATTAATTTCTTTGTTCACAGTTATTGGGAAAGGGCAAACATACCTATTGGTCTCTCACAACTAAATCTGAAGCATATTTGAGAACAATTCCAATAGCTTACAGGCTCTGGTATCATCGTATACATACATGACATATACATGCACAGTGCGTTAACTGGAGTGCAGGTATCAGTTACCCGCACTCCAGTGCATGCCAAATGATTGGCTCATTTTTGCTGGGGTTTACTTATCGAGATGGCAGCGAAAGGGAAAGCGATAGAAATATCAAATTCAGATGCTCGTTCGTTGGTTACTTTTTTCTGGGGTTTCATATTTTGACAACAAGGGACGTGTTTTTTTTCGTTTGACTATGATACAAAAGAGAAAGAACATCAAACACTCGGCAATCTGATTAATGCAAATCAGATAGCCTCGTGTTTCGATGCTCTTTCTATCTATTTCAAAGCGTTTGGTTGTTCTATTTTATACAAACAGACGCAGTGTCGACCGATTCATTATAATTTCCAATCGTTAAGAAAACTGTTGCCAACTAAAAAGGTGATTGTATACATTTGTTCAATCGTATTGTTCTGTAAATGATGTTTCTTTGAGTTGTTCATCGGCTTGTCTTATAAAATATGAATATTTACTCTTCACATTCAGTCAAGACAATAAAAAGTTACAATGTTTCTTTTACGTCCTCACAATGTAAAAAGTTATTGATTAGGATAAACAGTGGTATTTCTTTTCGTGAAACCTTTAAAACATTTGCTTAACTAATTTGATTGTTATTTCCAATCAGGTATTTTGATTTCGTTTCATCTCAGGTAACGGACACGACACGTCTGAAAAAGAATGTCAAAATGGTTGTCGTTGGAATATCACAATTATGGTAAATAGATGTACGACAAATGACACAGATAATATTTGTAATGGCAACGGTAAATGTACTTCATTAGACAACGAGGTAGGTAGTTTAAATATAGAAACAAATGACAGATAACCAAATCTTGATGATCCCGATAAGAATTTAAATTTGGAACATGGATCCTTATTGTACCTCACAGTACACACACTTAAAAGAATAACAATTTACTTTTAAAAGAGACAATTTTTAAAACATGTAACAAGAACAAAAAGGACGTTAAGACCTTAAAATAACAGACACAAATCAAGAAAAATAATTTCATTCTTTGTTCAGCGAAACTATTCATTTAGCAATAATTGCCAAATATTATAAAAGAAATTAAAGAAAAATGTTACTTTTAATACATTTTTAACAAGAAAGCATATGTTTCAACATGATATTTTTCACTAAATCGTCATTTATTTTGGCCTGTAAATAGCAATGATCATGTCAGGTGGTAAGAAACTAACAGATTTCCAATCGACTTTCTTGAACAAGTCGACACAACAAGTTTTTTCATGCCCGCAAATATACAACAAAAAACGTGTATTTTTTTCAGAACCAATTTTCTTGTAAATGTTTGAACGGGTTTGGCGGAAGCGTTTGTGAGATCAATTATGCTGAAGGCGATAGTTCATCAGTTTGCACTGACAGTAATTGTGGAAATGGTGGGACCTGTGTCACCGACGAATCAGTAATTTCGTCTACAAACAGTAAGTCATCATCGATAAATTCCCTATTTATCAATTTCTTGACATTCTAAGTTATGTTATGCAAGACAATTTATTCATTGGTCTGATTGGGATGAATGTAAAATTAACTGCATAAATAGCGAGAGAGAAATATTGTTAATATTTAATATTTGAAATGTATTGTACCAATATATCGTCATTATTTTAACAAGATAATTGAAGGGATGTTTAAAAGTGTCTATTGAATTAAAACATGGTGAAGTTTATTATATGTGCTTCTCAGCAGTGCACTATTTCGAAAACGACGTGTTCATGTTTATTTTTAAAATTTGCAGTATCGTCATCTTCATGTCTATGTCCATCACATTTTACCGGACAATATTGTGAGACTATCTTAAATAACTGTAAATCAAGTCCTTGTGTGAATGGAGTTTGCGTGGAACACATAGACGGATATCAGTGTTACTGTGTCCCAGGTAAGTTGAATTATAAATATGATGACTTTAATTGTACTATCTAGACTTAAGTATCAAACTCTGCAATTTTAATGTAATTGTGTTGTAATTAATGCCTCCGATGGTTCACCCTTGTCCAAGACCTTTATAAATATCTAAACTTCCTAAATTTGACATAAAATATATTCTACTGTTATTGATTAACCCAGCTATTATTTTTTGAAGTGATTAATTTTATAACATCCTTAAACAAAGTAAAGCTAGCATACCTTAGAATGGACCTTTTTGATGTTTTTTCTTAGATAAAGAATGCGAAAAAGTCATAATATCAAATAAAAAAATCATTATGATGTGTAGCATTTAATGAACGCATCAAGTTGAATTTATTTTTAGAAAAACAATAATGAAATTGCAAAGTGAATAATAAAATGGACAAAGACAAGTATTTGAAACAAACTCAACATATCTCTCTTTTTTCTACTGTTAGGTTTTCACGGCAAGAATTGTGAACTAGAGTACAACGAATGTCTAAGCAACCCATGTTCTAATCGAGGTACATGTATCGACAGAGTTGATAAGTTTGAATGTCGATGTTCCGTTGGTTATCATGGTGGCACGTGCCAAGATAAGGTGAGAAAAAAATATATTCATACATTATTTCATAACCTTTGTTAATATAGCTTACGTACATGAAACTATATGCATATGTAATAAAAATTGTTAAGGAAAGGAATAATATTTTAATGTGTTAAGTTAATTCTATGATGTTGATACATTACGTAAACATCAAACATAATAATTATCTGTAAGTTCTCGTATAACAAAGTACACATTTTAGATAATAATCATATCTTGGCAGCATTTTAAATTTGTATTTCTACAACTTTGATGAACATATTATTTATCACTGTTTTGTCATAAGTGTTCTTTTTCCGCAATATTCGTTTCTTGAAATGGCATAAAGATTAAGGTGATATTAGTTTATCAAAGCAGTCATTAGCTCTTTCAAACGGAATTATATTAAATTAAATATTCAAATGTTACACGCTCATTTCAGTCCACGATTACCGTAGGTTATTCCGATTTTGCAACATTTTCATTTTAGTTGAGTTACTAGGATATAATTCTGAATTTTCAAATTAACAATTGACATTTAACTGTTGACATTCTTTTGTTGTTATACACTTATGGAAGAAAAAAAGTTAAGAATGTAATATATCATTGAGTTTGTTAATTTTTAACCGTCTTATATATTTAACAGGTTGATTTTTGTCAACCAAGCCCCTGCCTCAAGAACTCTTCATGTACTTCCATTCATAAAACATTTGCTTGTATTTGTCACCATGGTTTTACAGGTAAGTGTTAATGAATAATTCACACGAATGACCATTTTATATGCAACCGTATCAAACTTGCACAAACAACAGTCTTTTTATGAATGTCATCTGTCTTGTAAAAAGTCGCCATTTAAAGGCTGAGATCACCCTTTAAAGTGTATATATCGCTGAAGTAATAATTTGAATTTTGAAAGGATAAATCGCAAAAATAGTTGTGTACGAAAGAAATATGCCTGTTACAATGTACTTCTTTAATAGCGAATGATGCATGCACGAAGTTAATGCTAAATTGATTTCCTACTTAAAAAACGACATTATATTTTGTTTCAGGACATGTTACAATATCAATGTGTAAATACTATACACATTCTATGATAAAAGTCTTTCTAATATCGACCATAATGTGATTAAAACAAAATAAATAGTTTCTGAATTTCTTCTGGATCGTATAAGAATATACATTTGACAAAGTTTTAATGTAGAAACATATATAATAAAATTATCAGAAAAAGCAATGGCTACACAAGAATAAATGCATTTAAAAATTAATATCAAATAAATTTAAACAGATTAAACATTATGCTAATTAAGATAATAAAAGTAAAAATGAAATATAGCGCATAATATATATTACACTATAAAATATTTATCATTAATTATGTTCATTCATAAAATAAACTCATTTCTACAGTATGTGTTAAATTTTTTTTTGATAGTTGACAGACTTTTTAAAAATATTTTCACGAGACTCTTATTAATTGTTTGTTTTTGTTTCATGAAAAGTACAAAATGATTACATTTCATAAGAATGTGTATCTTTATTTTGTGTCCGTATTTCAATGCCCATAATACTGATTTTTGCAGGAAAGTTTTGCGATGAAAGAATAAATCATGCTCGTCAAATCCGTGTAAAAATCATGGAACTTGTATAGAATACGAAACAGGTTATCAGTGTATGTGTCAGGTTACGTTTGCAGGACAACATTGTGAATATATGAGTAAGTTACATTACATATATCCTTGCGTATTTTTTTCAAATAAAGATCAATAGTTTAGGAAGGTGTTACACTTTAAAAAAATATTAAAGACAACACCGTTATCGCTTGTTATTTATAACGGTAAGGATATATTTAATTAAAGCACAACAATTTTGTTCCTTGTCGCACTTGAATAGTGATATTTATAATGTTATTAATTGTGATATTCATTTCAACAAAGCACTCTTAAAATGTATTTAATATGTTTTTTAAATGAGCATATGTCACATTAAACTGTACTGGCATTTGTATTGACGTTGAATAAAAGTTAATGCCGTACATTTTTGACAGTATATTGTCAAGTAATATTGAAATGATAATAGTTGACAGCAAAATCAAGATTAGTTTGGCAAAAGGAAGTGTATCTCTTTGCAACTTTATTTTACCGTTATTAAAATGATTTTCTTTTTACCAAAAGCATAGTAATCATAAACATGCATATAGCCAGCGAGAGACTTTTGTTAACATGAGCCCGATAATTTTAATGTATTGTATGAAAAACAGGGTCAAAACTGTTTTTATTCGTGTTTTCATCGTTAGAGCGGTATTAACTGACCCAGAATAACAAGTAAGTATCTTTATCGCATTTAATATTATACATATAATGTATATTCACATAACTGTACTTTCAGTGGATGTTTTTGCTCCACCAATGGAAGGTGCCGATTTATCTGGTGAATCACATAAACATAACATGTATATAGTAGCAGGAACTTTGGGTAGCATGGTCCTTATTGTTGTTTCTGTTATTGTTGCCATGAAAAGAACATTATTTTGGAATATTTTTAATATTGATTCAAATATGAATGGATATCAAAAACGACTTTTTGTAAAGACACTTATCTTAACAACATAGAATTATCGTATGATGATTTGGACCCAAAATTGTTTTTATACGTATTATCTAAATTAGCGAACATTTTGAAGGCAAGCGTTAAATAGAAATTAAGATTGTTTGACTTGAAATATTGCGTTGTTATTTGCGTCTAGTAGTTTTCCTATAGTTCTACATATTAAAAGTTTCATCTGTTTTGATATTGAATAAATGACGTCATTAAAGGTTGTGATTTGATAAAACGCTCAGTGTAAGACTGCATTATATTTCAAATGGAGAAGAAACTACATGTGTGCCATTTTTCTAATATTTTACGTAATCTAGATAAGGATATTCGAGATCAATGCTTACAAATAGTATTCATATTCCATGACAACTTCCGCTCATGTATGTCAAGGGTTGACAGCAAAACTATTGTATGTCCTTCTTTATTTCATTTACTGCAGATACTACAGTTTTGCGTTCAACCCTCGAATTATATAAATTCGCAAAAAGTAAGCAATAATGATGTTTCATTTTATACTTTTGAGCATGCTAATCAAAATACAGGTTTTTCAATTTCTACCGTCTATTGCATATTTATCTTGCATTTCCTATCTCGTTTACACAAATAATGTTAAACAATAAAGGCAACTCCATTCGAATCTGTTATTTGTATAATGGTATACATATGTCAATATACAGCCTTCTTCTGTACATACAAAAAATCACATCTATTAACAGATAAATAGTAAGAAATAAAAAGGTAAGCAAAATGAAAATATTTTGTATCATGGACATCAAAAATACATTATATTGTTGGAAAAAGAAATACGAATGAACATTATAATTGCGTATATACTTCTTATTTGTTATTTCAAATAAAGCTTCGAACTGAGAACAATTGTTATTGAAGCGTTTTTGTTGTGTTTTTCTTTTTGTGTTTGTGTTTTTTGTTGTTTGTTGTTATTTTCCTGCCTGCTTTTGTTTTGTTTTTTTAATGTTGTTTTTGTAAATAATCTTATCTTTCAGAGCAAGAGCTATGGAAATGAGTGATATCTGTTAAAAAGAGAATTTGAAAAGTATTTTACAGGAAGTTAGCGTCATTTTGGAATTTAAGTTTTATTTTCTATATTTATTTACTTTTAATATCATATAAACATATTTTCAAACCGCCTTTGTATAACTATGCTAAATTATCTGAAATAATATTATCTTTATGACTATGATTATCTTTATATCTTTTGATATTTTAAGAACAATAAATGAAATAATATTCCGGAAAAAATCGAAACTCGTGATATTGAGTTAAATCTTGAAGGATAACGTTAACCTCAGCGTTGACACTGGTAAAGTGTCAAACTTTTTACCGAATGACAACAAACGTGCTAAAATTTTGTTCATATAATTAGATTATAGTACCAAATGCCCAAAATGAAACAAATACTAGTTTATTGACATTTTTATTTCAAAATTTATTTCAAAATGTAGCATTTGAAGAAGAATATAATGGTTACATGTATATAACATTTACATGGATCGAGGATCTTTGACAAAACACGGCCGTCTTTCTTTTCGTCCTGAGGCTAATATCTGATTTAACTTTATACTTGTTTGTCTTGAAGTAAGCAATAACTGTAGTCTAATGCTCAACCAATCCAGAATAATTTACGTTATTCTAAAATAGTCAAAAGTAGAATGAGTTCAAACGCAGGTTGCATTGTCATCGGCATTTCATTAAAATCTTATTAAGTTCATCGAAATGTACATAATGTGTTTTTAATAACATCATCGCACCTTTATATTTATATAAGATCAGTTCTGTAAATGAACTGTGGTAGTGGTAGACAAACACACACAAATGGTCATGATTGATATTTGCTGGAATTATCAAGAAATGTTATATTTCAAGTAATGTTTCTCAAATATAAATTAAATGTAGATAACACATTTTTTTTCAATCAATGCTTATTGAGTATTTCTTTAAATTAAGCATAACATAAGAATTATCACACACAATCTTTAACTATAAAAGTTATATTGTGTTTCAATGCTCGAAGTACTTATAACTAGATTGAGTAGATAATTTTGTATTGAAACTCCAAAACTATTAAGGAATGTCTGCTACTAGAGTAAAATACAGATAAACAGAATCCTTAAAGAAAGCCAAACACGGCAAAATTGAAAATGATGCAGGCTCGGTTTAATTGAGCCTGTTCATGGACGGTACTGGATAGTTACCGTTTACACCCCTAGCACCGACTTAAGCAGAATTCAACACGATTGGTGAAATTTCGAATTAAGAAACATCCGCAGATGTGTATACGGCAGTTACCTTTATTTTAATTAAGAGTAGTGTGCGCATTTCATTCGTCGTTCGTGTTATTTCGAACACTTTAATCACTAGTAAGTGTGCAAAAGTATTGTAATAAGAAAAGGTTCAAGAAACATGATTCATCTGAAATTGCACAATTTCCATTCTGACTAAAACTACTATTGCATTATTTTTTCTCACTCAAACTTCCAATTTTATAGTATTCTTCGGTTGATTTGATTGTTTTTTCAGGACAAAATGTCACTTAGAAATATTATCTCCACAAATTCTCCAAACTAGACACATGAATTGTAACGTTGGGAATAATGTTCAAAATTAGAAGACATTTTCAATCATATTGAATGATGATTGGTTAGAATTATAGATTTAACGTTTTCACAATTGCCATCTTAAAATCAGATAAACGCTATTCAGTAAAAACCTTGTAGGAGTTTTATTTATTGATTCAGAAATGCTTGAAAACATAAATTAACTATTTATGGACGAATTAAGGACAAATGCTTTATCTAGAACATCTTCAAGTGTGTTATGTTTATAAATGTAATCTCGTTAACAAATGATCCGAACACATTTATAGACATTTTGATATACAATTTGGATCGCTGAAGAGAAAAAATATTACTCTTTTATCAAAAAGATGTTATGGCAGATTCCATACGTAGTACAACAATTTAGATGATAAAATGCATGGTCACTTAAAAAAATTGGTAACGTGCTACATAGTAAAATAATAATGGCTAACTCCTTTCTTAACGGTTCTTTAAAACATAGGTTGTTCGGTTTAAACAATAAAGGCTGCTTATAACGTCCATTATTCGTTTGTATATTCTTTTTCTCCTATCGCAATATTTCAGCATTGAGTACGGATATTAAACCAAAGAATACGAAGCTACGACATCTTTAAGTGACACAAAATAAACTAAACAAAACAAATCTTTAGCTTATATCAATTATTATCATAACAGGAATGCAATGACAATTTGTATATTATTATATTATAAACATAATATACAATACAGTAGAAACCCTATTTAAGTTTAACCTTGAATTACACCCCGCTGTTAAGACAAAATTATTTTTCATAAAAGGAACCTTCTGATATGTCAATGTTAAAATAATCCACATTACTCCGCCTATATACTATACTTACCACAAGTATCAATACCAATTCTTTAGTTTTGTTATCTTACCCACACTATTGATACGACTTATAATCCGTTCTATACCAACAGTTTGCTGTAATCATCTGTTTGAATGTAGGCATGGCACTTGATGAAAAATGTGTTAAAACTATTATGATTGGAATATTTTATAAAGTAATGATAATAAAATAAATATCTGAGTAAAATAATGATGCTCTCTGCACATTTATGTTGGGCATAATGGATTTTTTTTGGATAGGTGATGTATGTTCCACGTTTAATATTTAAACCAGGAAAATAAAAATTAAACTTTTAATATTTAATTTCAATCGCCTGACTTATGTTCTGGTATTATCAGATTAAATGCAACATTTTTGTTATAGTAATATTTAAAGGTTATTATGAATATTGTTTCAAACATGTTCATACAAGTTGACCATAAAATATATATGCCTTTATGATAATATCCACTCATAAGACCTACCCACAATTAAGATCACTTTGGTCTAGTCCCATTGGTGGTCTTAATAGAGGATTGTTACTGTATAATATACACTTGTCGAACTTTATTGAGCATGGCACATAATCGTCTAATTCTAAGGGCAATACAATGACCTTGTGAATGAGATAAACATGATATCATAAGAGGAAGGTATTCATTTTACCTATATATTAAATACGTTTTCAGAAGTTCATCTTGATGACTCGTGACAAACAAAGATTTGCTATTTAAGGACATTTAATGCGACCTAAAAGTAACAGGATATATCATTTATCCAGGTTCCAAATTTTTTAATCCATGAATATATACGGCATGCAAAGAATCGATATTAATAATAAAAATTGTATGTGTTAAATATGTTTCGTTCGTTTAAGTAACAAGTTTTTTAAATGCACAACAATTATCACATTTACTATAGTTTCGATGATCACATAAAGTCAAATTATTAAAATATACTTATGAATTGTTGAACAAACTAGCGTCCTGAACTTTAATGTAAAAGTCAGGTATTGTGTCCAAATGAATGCGAATTACATTACAAGAGAATAGTATTACTTCAATTTATTGTTGACGTTTCACGGCCATAAACAAGGATTTATTTGAAATAACAGAATGACAAGCCATGTTAGAAACGTAAAATCTGTACTTAATTTCCAATGTTAATGGCAGTGGGATTTCAGAGTGATTTATTCATGTAATCTATTTTATCCAATGCGTTCTTCGAAATAAAATAGAAAATGTGCGGTCAGACATCTTAAACGTTATATTGGAATAGTTTTTACAAACAAAATAATTTTCTATACATTTATTTTCAAAGACACATCTTTTTGTTGATTGTAAAATTGTCTAAAATATCAATTATTTCATTATGTCAAATGATGTTTTTTTTTCGTCCTAAAAATAAAATTATCATTTTAAGTCCAGGTTCGGTCATACCCTATAATTAAATTAAAATCAACAGCCATAACAAAACAAAAACATGAGTGCAATTTGTAGATAAATCCTAAACAGAATATGATACATGTGTCTACTGTAATTATGTAGACATGCTTTATCAAACGAG